GAAATTCAATTTGCGTTTTCTCGTGTCTTGAAAGCACGACTTCAAAATCGGACTTTTTCTGAAATGACATGCCAATTTTTATCCATATTTCGATTCTACGATTCAAATTATGCCTAAATGTTAAATTTTGTCAAATTTAGTGCGAAATTTACGTAGAAATTCAAAAATTTCCCTAGGCACATATTTTTCAGTTTGCGCCAAGAATAATTTACTTGACGAATCTTTTCCGTTTTTACATTGTGCATGAGCGGAAAAAAGTGACATCTTTCCCTATTTTCAAATGATTTTAACAAAGTGATTAAACCACACTTGACGTTATTATCGCTTTCAACAAATACGCCAAATTTCAGAACACGCCAATATATAAATTCACGTATATCTTCGGAAATTTTGAATAAAAAAATCTAAAACTGGTATGCTTAGAAATACATGTACTTTAAGATGATGGTAAAATTTTTATAGATCATAATTCAAAATATTTTTCGAAAAATTTATAAAAATTTTAAAACTAAATCGTAAAAAATGGGCGAATTCTATTTGGAATGAACCTAAATTCGAATGTGAAAGGAGAAATAAGTTTTAATAAAAAAAAAAAAAAAAAGATTAATAATTATACAAATATCAATTAACATTGAGAAGCTAAAATTTTGAAAGCTAATTTTTCAAAAACTACTCGTGCGATTTTTACAAAACTTAGCAGTTTGGCACAATTTGAATCGTAGAATCGAAATATGGGGAAAATTGTCATGTCATTTCAGAAAACGTCCGATTTTGTGTCAAAATACCTATATTAGAACAGTGCTGTATATAAATCTAAATTCCTAAATTATGCTTTCGAGACATTAAAAACGCAAGTTGAATTTCGTCAATCGGCCCAGTAGAACGGGAGATACAGAATTGTCCCATTTTTTGTTTTGTGCAGTGTATCTCATACTAATAGTTAACAGTTCTGTATCCTCAACAAATGGATTGACTGCTACCCACTTTTATCCTCAGTTTTTGCTTTCTCACTGTTCATGTCAAAGTTTATGTTTTAGCAAAATGAAACAATTTCTTCAAGCTTTTTGCTAGATGTGGAACATAAAATTAGAAAATAAAATATTTCTGTACAAACGTAACTTCGTAACTAGTAAGTGTAGCATAGCTGGGCTAGATACAGTAATTATAACTATTAAAAAATTAAATCGACACGATATTATTAAACCACATTATAGAAGCTAGTAGTAATCCGACAAAATATTTAAAAAATTTTAATGGACATATTATTTATTATTTATTTTTAGTTGATAAAACAAAAGTCCTATTACTTTAGTTAGCATTACTTTTTATTCTAATATGTTTTACGTTATTTATATTCAGTTTGTACTATAATGTTATTTCAAAATATATGTTAAAGTGTACAGACTGAAACGTGATGAAAAAGTATTAATTTTATGTTGTAATCATTCAGTTAGGTTAGCTTTACGAAAGGCATCAAATGTCCGATCACTTTTGTGAGATACTATATGATTACAATAAAATGTATATTTTTAAATGCAGAACAGCATTAAATGTCGTAACTATATATTTTTGAGTTAATAAACAATTACAAAAAATACGCCTGATACGTTTTACGGAAGAATTTCTTTTGTTTTATTGAGAAGAAAATTTATTCTAGCAGATTTAGACTTAGCTTAATAATTTTTGTTTTTAAAGAACAAGAGATTACGATTTTCATATCAGGTTTCCTTTCTTTTCATTAAACTTAAATCTGAAAAAAATATGAATTTAATAAAGCACTACCGTGTCTTTTTTTTTTTTTTTTTTAACAGTCTCACCAGCGACAAATCGCTGAACACCGGTCGTTTCAACCTGGGTTCAAATCCAGGCGAATGGGCTGGCTGCTTGGGCGTTTTCACGGTTTTCCCCTTGTGTAGCATGAATACGAGCCAGTCCATTAGAAACTCCTTCACGAAGGCATCCCTCCCCTTAGGCAGATAACCCTAGTATGCTTTGACATAATAAACTAAACCAAATCAATCTTTTTAATAAAGATGACGCCCAATTCAATGATCATCTGTTTAAATTCGTTGTAATTAAAGTAACATACGGGGTAGTTCACATATGATTATCCTAGTCATTGCATATGTTTAGCTTATGTATCGTGTAGAGACATTAAGTATTTTTTTGGAAGCAGGCAAGATGAAAAATTAGCTACGCCTTTGCCGGGAATCGAACCGAGGACCTCTGAAACACGCGCCCAGCATGCAGACCACCATACCACGAAGGTATGCCAAGAAGGTGGGAGAAATACCTTATAGATGTTTTGATGATTTTTATGATCAGCTTACTAATCACTATTTCTTGCAGAACGCATGGTTTGGCAGATCCTCTTTCAGCTGAATAAGAGACTGTTTCTGCTCTTTTAATTAAGCAAATATAAATGAAAGATATAGTCAAGACCTCACATGAAGGCAGTAGGTGAATGCTAAATAAGATTATGCAGAGCTGTCTTTTAAACATTTACTTGCACTACAATTGGAAATCATTGGTAACTAAGATGCTATGAAAATAAGACAGTATAAAACACATGAAATTCTTGTCGAAAATGATATGTTTTTAAGACCTCTCTGCTTCTTGTTGGCTTTGTTTAATTTTCGTTAAAAGAGACCCAACGTCGCTAACTCTATTATATGTATAACTACTTTCCAACTTAACTACGCCATTAAATTCTGGCATAGTATAAAAATAAATAATATTTCTGATAAGGTATCAAGGATATTATTTACATATTTTTCAAAGAAGGAGAATAAATCCTCCTCTCCTCTACAACTAATCGACAGTAACAAAAGTATCCCAGTCCCGTTATCCGGCCAAAGTCCTTATCCGGCGTTTATTTTCGCACTCGCTGGTCGTAGTCATTTACTTCCAGTTAGAGAAGTGCTTTAAATAACGAATATATTCATGTTTTGGGAATGCCAAATTAAAATATATATATATATATATATTAATTTTGGACAAATAACGAAATCTAACTTTTAATGCGGTCTGCCGGTTACTATGCTTATATTTGGGAACGTTTTATACTCATTATGAACAAATAAAAAAATATGGGAAGTTTGATTTCTCTACGACAAAAGTTCACAGAGATATTTAATTTAAAAATTTGGAATTTTTGATGTCATTTTCAACTTGCCTTGCAGAATCGGTAAATTAAGTTAGAATAATTGGAGTAAATAAGTTTAAATGAAGTGCAGCAAAAAAAAAAAAAAAAATGTATATAATTTAATAAGCTGTACAAGGATGTAGTGATGTTCACATCAGATTTTTTCTGAATGCAAAATGGATATATTTTACAAATTCTTAGGACGAAAAATAAATATTTGGGACTGAAAGGTATCACACAGAACGATTTTTTACTCATTCTGGTGCTCTAAGTTCTGCACAATAAATGAAGTATTGCCGGGAACCCTTGTTCGTTATTCAACACTTCACTTAATTTCAAACAGATTCTGAGAAGTTACGTTTTGTGAAACTTTTTCGCGTGTTCAAATCAAGGTATAATTTGGTAGAAATAATTTATAAATATTCCAAGACAGCTATTATATAAATGGGATATGACTCGCGGCTAATCGCAAAGTTTTCTGCTTTCGAATTAAATATTTAGTATGACTCTAAATTTATATTTTCATGAATCAGTTGCACAAATATCCAGATACGTTGCTACCGGTCATGGAGACCTAAGCACATGTAGTTTCGTCCTTTGCCGTACAGGTTGGTTACCTGGGAGTTTTCGTCTTTTTCTCACCTGTAAAGTAAACGTGACCAATTTCTCTAAAAAGAGTTATATGATGGCAGACCTTCAGAAGCAAACAGAAATTAAAAAGCATACTATTTAAGTGTAATCAATTATCCTGCATTCATAACACGTTTTCCCTTCCCCATAAATGTGTTCCGTTTCGTTAAGAATACAAAAATAACAAAACAACTGAAAGATTTAAAACATTACAAATAAATAACAGTAAAATAAACTATTTTTCATAAGTGAGAGCTTTTTTGACTGTAATAATAATCTTTACCACTGTTTAAGAATTAGTTTTCATGAGCTTGAAGTTTTATTCCAATATGAAATAAATGTTAGTTCTCTTGAGCTAACCTCTAATTCAATTCAAGAAAGCTATTAAGGTATATAAACTCTATGAATTAAAATTTCAATGTATTTTTTTTAATAGCAAATCTGTATGTCATACAGTTGGAGGAAAATTGCTTATTTTTATGTTTTTATCCAATAAACTTAAGGATTATTTACCATAAAAGTTTTATAAATAAACGGCAATATGAAAGATTAATATACCAACACAGGATATTTTATGCCGCGGTCTTCCTGGTGCTTCCTTCCTTTTTAAGGAATAAAAATATTCATAACTTTGGTATTTTTCTGCCAGTCTTTATTGATAAAAATATAGTAATATATTTACTATTTTCTCATAGCAGCATTTTTCTTAGCAATAAATGATAGATTCTTCACTAACTCACACATAACCAGTTTCTGAATATATATCAAAATATATGAAGTAATGAATAGTTGGAATTAAGAATAAAATTTATTTGTATAGTAATAATTTTTGATGTGTAAATCCTATGTGATCAGATTCAGTCAGATTCTATTAGAATCATTCAAAATTTTCCATTCCTAACATTGCAAAATACCTTTTGCTTGTTTCAGAATTTACAGTTAATATCAGAGACATTATAGTTTTCTAATCGATATTTCTAAAAAATGTTCTTTCTCCATCAGAGACATTATAGTTTTCTAATTGATATTCTAAAAAAATTTTTTTTTGTCACCGCTTTTTGTAACATCTTATAAACAAATAAAAATTTTTATTATTCACTGAAATGGCTCTTAACTGTAATATATGCATATTTATGTAACTTTCTGAGGTTCTACAGAGACTAAAAACATGTGTTAGGTTTCAGGAAGTGTGTGAGTGTTGTATAATAATTGAATCACATACAAGTACTGAAAAATCATATATTAAATGAAAAACACTTTTAGCTTGTGCAATTTATATAACTATCTAGCAACATACAAATTCTTATATCTCTCTTTAACAAAATGCAATATAACTAAAATAATATTTTCACTACCTTTGACTTTACATATCATTTACAGATCTATTTATATTGATGGTAGTGTAAGTAATTTTATAAGTGTGTTGTAACATTATGTACAGGTTATTTTATATATTTGATCATACACATTGAACTCCGATACACTGTAGAAATGTTCACAAAATTCTCATTCAAAAGCTCACAGATACATGAACGTATTGCAACAATTGGTTCTTTGCGTACAAAAAATTGTTTACTCATAAACAAAATCTATAGGCACACGGCAATATTAATTTTTTTGTTTTTAAGTACAGGATCAAAAACTTCTGAGAGAAATAAATGTCATCTATATTTTGGGCTGAAAAAGCGATCGAAAATTTCGATTCGCTCGGAGAATGGTGTTATTTACAAGGAGTTTACATATAGGGAAAACAATGCCAATAAAAACTTTCTATGTTTGAGCGATTTGTAGAATTTAAGCTCCTAACATATGGATGACCTTATTTTGATCATACTGTTACAGAAGAGTCTAAATTTTTAAACTTTTTTAATTATAATATAATAATAATATAATGAAACATCTAAACATCTATTGTACTGTTATCATACGAAAACTTAACAACATCAAATGAATTCAATTTATATAATTTTTAGGAAACTCTGTATACAGCAATTTTCTGACGTCTAGAAAAAACGCGATATGTCAGATATGTGCTTTTTAAGTATTATAAATCACAGGCTTCCATATATTATGCAATTAAAATAAATTTTATATGATAATAGCATAATTTTTTAACTATTGTATGATGGTTAATTATAATTCAGATTTATCATTTACCAATGCAAACTCAAAAATATCTATGCATCATTTTCTTCATCATATATGAAATATATCTTTTTTTTTTTTTTCCTCAAGTTAAACATTAAAAACCAACATCTATTAACTACAGGAAAAAAATATATGTCCTTTAACATTGTCACTCTACTATTTATAATAAAATTTACTCTTTTTCAAAAATAAATTACCTTTTTATTCTCTAAAAATCTTCGAGTGATTACATGCTTTTTTCGATATTTTAATAAGTCTCGTCGCCTATGTATATCGGAAACTGTCACTGTACAGCTATGTGTACTTTTATCCACACAGGTAAAATAAATTTCTTTTCTCAGAAAACAGCAGATTCGCTGGTAAAACTGGAAAAGCCAAAAGCGCGATGTTCTAAGCGAGTTAAACTAACAGAGAGACTGCTAGATTTCTTCATTCTATCTGATGAAGTTTTATGAGGCCTTTCAAATAACTTTTAAGACTGCTTTTCACTTAGTTATTTAAGCGCTTCCCATTTTTCCATCTTTTACTGTAACTGTCGTATTCAGTAATTGCTACTGATTGTCGTATGATTTGATCAAATTCAAATAGATAAGACAAATTTAGTACAAACGTTAAAGTATTTAAAAATACTTTTAAATACATTCAATTATTGTGTCTATAGATTTTACATTTGCATAGTTATAACAATACAAATAAGAATAAGAGTCAGAGATTATTGTTACTTATTTGTGGAAAAAATAAGTTAAAATGACAAAAGTTATATAACATGAAATAACGTTATATATCCTAAGATTACACATGACACAAAAAGACTTCATTTGAAGGATTTATAATCAGTTTGTCAAATATAATATTAAATCATTAAAAGCACCTTGTATATCAAGAATACAGGGTAAAAGGAAAGAATATTTTAAAGTCCATTTTTAAATATTGTCAGAGATATATTATAAAAACAGATTGAAAATCAGATAGAAGATCTCATATACTTATCAAAATAAAGGCATACAGAATTTTATATGACTGCATTAAAAAGGGAAAATAAACACACTCTTTACAATTTATCTGTTTTTTTCCTTTTCTTAAAAGTAGCAAAAACCAGCATTCATGTAAGACAATACATGAAAGAATATATTAAAAATTAAGATAGGATTTATAATACTTTATGAACAAGTAAAGCAGTAAAAATTTTTTTTAGACATATGAACACGCTTGCCTTTCACGTAACACTATGTATGTATACTTAAATAAAACTATCAGCAGTCACTTACCGTTAAACAATCAGACTGATTTGCTAAAAGTCGGTATTCGGAAGACTTTCTGTGAAATGAAAATTGTCTGCATGTAAGACCCTTGAACTAAAAGTGAATTTTGTATGTTTTACAGAAATGGTGAATACAAATAGATAAATGCTGTTACAACACGTTCACTTTCATGTTTCACACATTTCGGAAGACCGCACATCGCTGTCAGCGTCCTTTATAAAGTAACAATCTATCACTGCAGACCATAAAAGCACGTCAAACATTCAACGAGTAGTAAATGACTCCATCTTCTTTACGCGACCCCCCAGTCGCTATAGTATCAGGCACAGGAGCATGGTACAAAGAATCAGATGAGATTTTAGGGGATGAGCTAGCCCCCTCAGGAACTCCTCTTTCGTCTTTCGAAGCTATGGGATGAGGAGGAACTTGTAACATTGGGGGTGATACTGCTGGTAATGGAACAGTTGTTATTTGTAAAGTCTGATGAGCTGCTGAAGGTGCGGGTACATTATGGCATATTCTCGAATCAGGTGGCATCCATCCTTTCGTGGGCAATGTCCTTGTACTTCCGTACATGCTCTCAGCGTAAGAATGGTACCTGGTATCCGAATGGGGCTTTCGATGAGTGTAAGGTATTGTCGCGCTTCCGGGGAGTTCTGTCAAAGCAACTGAAGCCCTATGAATGTGCATGGGTACTTGAGTTCTACCAGTTTGCTGTGAAGGTCCGTAAAGTTGAGACTGACTGATATTTTCTGGTCTCCATTTTGGATCACGGTTCCAAACTCTTGACTGATCAGCACTATATGAAGTAGGTCTCGGATGATGTAAAGGTGGTCCCTGTGCAGTTTCTTCGAATACTGTATAAGGATCTACTTTGTTTGTACCGTGGCCTTGAATAGTTTCGGACGGGTTGGACTGGATTTGGCTTTGAACTCCGCGTACCGAGGGCCTTCGAGCGAATCCAAAAGTCGGATCATCTTCTTCTTCAGCCACACTGTATCTTTTACGTATTCTTTCTATTCGCTTAGAATCCTGCTCTACAAATTTTTCTAACTCATCTTTATTACCTGATGTTGGAGTTGCTCTGCTTACATCAGGCAAAACATTAACTGGATAGGCAGAAACACCACCATTCGGACATCTAATATAATCAGCTGGTACTTGTGATGGTCGAGAACTGCTGTCACCATTCCTATTTACCATAACTCTTTGAATCACCCTCCAATCACGAAAATTTCTAGGCACAGTCATGGAGGTCATGGGTCGATGCTCAGGCCACTGTACCTGTGAAGTCGGATGAGACACCATACGATTAGGAGGATACGGGGATGTGTGCGGCATTATTTGTGGTGAATGTCCTGAAAATGGCATTCGTTGACGGGGTAAAGAAGGATGATGAGTTGGAGGATAACCATCATGTCGCACGTAATAGCCACCTTTACTATTATGCGGCAGAACAAGTCTCGGCTGCATTTGATAAAATTGTGGATGCTGATAATTCAAAGAAGACTGGTTGCCTATATCGTCCTCAGATGAAGCACTGTGACCCATAGAACCATTAACAGGTACACCACCAGTGGAAAGAATAACATCTGGGGGTTTGGAATGAAAATTTAAGGGTGCATCAACATCTTTGTGTTCATCAATTGTTGTCAACCATTTGAGTTTCTCTACTAGAGATTCTTGGGAAAGCAAAGGCGATTTAGGTCGCGGATATTTTGCTCCTGGTTGTTGACGACGTTTCGCTTCTATTCCTCTAAACAGGGAACACTGCAAAGCATTCTTTTTTATAATTCTCCTAATCTTTGAATTACCATGAGCCATACCTCTGAAGCTCTCTTCATCATAATCATCAGCATCTTCCTCATCATAACCAATGTCATCTAATCTGATTTCTTCTTCCACTTCACCACTACGAGAATCGGAAGAAGTAGAGTCATCAGCATCTTGAGGTGGATCTTGAGAATTCCCACTATTAACTGACTGTTCACCAGAACTTTGTCTGCTCAAACTTTCTTCATTGACTTTATCTATCTTAGTTGAAACTATTTGTGCATTTTTGGGCAACAGCGATTCCCGGGGCAAAGGACGTGGTTTTTCATTTGAAGACAGGTTATCCGAATTTTCTCTGAAGACCTCGTCATAATTTTCTTTTTTCTCGCTCAAGATAGCATCACAGTTATCGGCAGACACTTCAGGGACATCGATCTCTTTGGCTTTATCAGGGAAGTTATCATTCAGATCATTCGAATTTTGTTCATTTTCTTCATCACCTAATCTCACAATAATTGTGTCCTGAGATGATATACTACAATCACTATCAGCTTCAGAGAGAGTTCTTGAATGAGTTTGACTGTTATCGTCATCTTCTATTTCGCGATCCACATCTTCTGATGAATTCGCGAATTTTGTAGATGAGAAAATGTCACCATCTTCAACTGTACCTTCTCCTTCAGCAGAGGATAACAGACTAATTAATTTTCTAAAAAAATTATCGTCAAAAGCTCCATTTCTAGCATCATTAGAGAAATCACTGTCAAGCTCATGGAATACGCTGTTTAGTTCTTCATCAACAGCAAATTCCCTCTCCGCTTCCAGAAACCTTTCAAAAAGTTTGTCACTTTCTTCACTGGACTCTTTCTGAAGCTGATTAGAGTCAATACTATCATTTTTAATCTCGTCAGCGGCACTGTCGATATTTTCCGTTTCGAGAGAAACAGCGACGTCACTGCGATCATCTACTGTTGATGAGAGTTCTGCCACTTTGGCATCTAGAACATCAGTAATAACCATTTCTGGGGAACAATTATCATTCGCTACTCCATTTGTTAATTCATAACTATCAGAATCATTCTGAGCAGGTTGGTCAACATTTTCTACGGGTACGCGCACTTCGGGAGCGGACATTTCATCAGGATCTCGATATTCGGCGGGAGGTTCAAAAGGAGGCACATCCTGGTATTCTATCGGAGGTTCAAACATATAAAATACTTCTGTGCATACTATTTCAGGCCCTGTGGTGAGGGGTATTAATTGGACATCTTCACTTTCGTCCGAATATAACGTAACTGCTTCATCAAATGTCACTCTACCTTTTTGCCTATTACTACATTTACTACTTTTCTTTAAAAGGGATCTCAATTCTTTCGTAGTGGAATTTGGCTCGCGAGAGCCATCGGCGGCGGCATCATCGAAACTGACCTGCCTTTTGACCGCGTGGCTCTTAGAAATCGCGGAAGGTTCGGAATCACTCATGTCCGTTTCGCGCGAATGTTGTGGAAGTTGGTTACTCACCTCCACTGGGTTGTCTCCGGAACATAAATCAGAATCCTTCTGCTCGCTGGAAAGATGGCTGCCCGACGTCGCACAGTGTCGCGGCGGTGGCATACCGTTCGTCCCGTTGACGAATGCAGGAGTATTACAGTTTGCCGGGGCTTCCCCCGTCGACGTTTCGGTCGCCGGCACATCATCTTCCAGGAACTCCTCCTCTTCGTCTATGAACTGAAAGTGTTCGCAGTCAAACACGGATGTCAGGGAAACATCGCCGTTCGTGTTGTTTTCGCCAGTGCCGCTCGAACCACACCCACCGCATCCCGGCGGTGTCAGCTGCCGTTCGGGGCGGTCGATCGATGATCGCTCGCTGTCCTGCGCAATGGGAGGCAGCCCTCCGCCGTTCACGGAGCATCCTGTCCCTACCCCGCCGCCGCTCTTACCTTCCGCGGAAGTGAACGCATATAGCGAATGGTCCACTTCCGTTTCGATCTTCATCTTCCGGTGACGTATCTCCTGTGAATGACCAAACAAAAATCTCTGCAGGTTATTTTTTTATAAACTTCAATCGAAATGGAGACCAATGCTTATTGTATTGTCACTTGTTCTCTTGTATCGAAGTTTTACGAGAATTTGATTCTGAGCGATCTGAATTTAACGATCACATGCATGTCCCCTTTTTTTTTTGCCTATTTTTTAAATACGTGACCTCTGATGGTCACATGCTGTTAGAAAATGATGGCAGTTTATCTTTTCTTCCTCACGTTAATGAAAATGTTGGCGAAATTCCTGAAAAATCATAAAAACAGACATTCAAATATGATAATTACCATTATTTTTATTATATATAAAGAATTATTTATTTACATAAAAATAAATTTAATATTGATAGGTATTCATAAATTGTATGTATGTTAAGGGAAGTTTTTAAATATGAATTATACAAAAAGTATTTAAACAAATATACTACAAAATATTTCCCAATAATAAAAATAGAATACAGCTTTTATATTATAAGTGCTGCTAAGAATGTGTGTAATAGAAACAGACAGGGTAGTTAACATAAAACTGAATATTCAGAAGCAAAACAATTTTTAATTATAATTTATTTAAGAAAATAAATATGCAATTTCTTTACATAATTAACAAAGCTTTATCGATAAAAAATATGCCATCGATTAAAAATATTTAGGGACGAAAATCTGCCAGCACGGTTCTGACAAAATGTTTTTTTGGCGTAAAATAAGCAAGCTTCATTATAATCTGTGAGCAATGATGAGGTAAGCTTTGAAATGTGACACAAGATGATAAAACATTTAAATAGTTGATTGTTTTCCAATTAAAATGCACTATTTTAAATATCAGTCTGAAAAACAAAATAATCTTAAATTAAACTATGATTGCATTATTTATTCGCTCGATATATTTTATGAAAATAATAAAGAAAAGAACTTTATTATTTCTATTACATTACATAACTTCATTATTTCTTGAAAGAACAGTTTCTTTAAAGGCAAATATATTATAATTAAGAAAAAATAATGCATCCAAAAGGAAGAAAATTATATTGCAGATGAGACAAAACAGATGTTGAATATCGAAGATTATTTATTAAAGCAGTAATTCCAACCACTCAGACCATATGCTTCTGAGAAAAAGAAGAAGAGAAAGGGGTAAGGGGATGCTAAAAAATGTGCTAATTTTGACTGTAATGTAACAGAGAAAATAAAAATAATTCTAAACTTAGGTTATTTAAACGTCTCCACTAATAATACAGAAATACTTTCAGTTACCAGTTCAGACACTTAACGCTGCAAACTTTACAAATTGCTATTAAATTTAATACTTAAAGGACGAGGGTTCAACAGCGCGATTTTTTTATATGTTAGCTGTCAAGTACTCGTAGACTTTACACATAAGAGAAACGGTTTGTGTTTAATTGATTATGCCAAAACATGCGAGGGATGTCGGAGTGACGTCTTCGTGGAGGACATTTTTAGAGAAACTGTATCGTACTCATCAAAATCACGAAAACGCGCCCTCAGTCAGTCTATTCTCGTGATTTGAACGTGGGATGAACTAACAGTATTCAACGGTCTGGTGAGTCGTAAAAGAAATCGAAACAAACTTACAGATGCAGTATTAAATATGTCCTCATAAAATCCACTTAGTCGGTAGTAGTATCCACTTAGTAGTCGGTTTTCATAATAATTCTGGAAGTCACTTCCTGCTACTAGTACCGTGACTAGCTCAAATATTCTGAATAACGTCATTACAAACTAGTGACTAAAAATTAAAAATCATTCCATCTGGTTTTTACATTTTTAACCTCTAAATTACATTAAACCAGTGTTGCCAGAAAATTTTCAACTAAAGAAGAAAAAGAAGACTAAAAAAATCGCAAATGACGTCAGAGATCACGTTGTTTTTGTGACGTCATAGTTACGCATGCTCACATGACCTCTGACGTCATCACAAATTTACCGTTTATTGGTTCTGTAAGTTACAGACTGTATTCAATTCTTAGTCTTTTTAATTACATATCTTAACTTTAACGAAAATTTTAAAACTATATTGCTCATTTTCAATTGTTTAAATATCCATTTCTTTTTTAATTAATTCTCATTTAATTTAGTTTCAATTTTTTAATTAATTTGCAGATATCCATTCCTCACGTTTAGACGGTTAGTTCTTTTGTATTAAATTTTTTTCGTTGGCAGTTAATTTTTTTAATTTATTGTTTTTTTCCTTAATTATGAACATTTTAATTGAGGAATGTTTTTCAGTGATCCACCGTGTGGTGGATCTGTTTCAGATTCTGATTACTTAAGAAAGCCTTGTTCTTTCACCGTTAAATTTAATTTTGTTATTATTTAGAAAAATGCCGCTGCTTTGATTTTCAAGTCATTCCCATTGCTTAGTTCTGAGCAATATTATAATCAGGAGTATGGATTTATATATTTCTCTGTTTGGGTACCCAATATATGGCGCGCAAGCTACAAGTTCTTTGGTTCAATTCATTATCACCATAGAAGGGGGGGGCAGACCTAAAAACAAAATGCACGGGCGACGAGGGGGGGGTGAGAGGTCCCGAAGCATTTTTTTTCTTTCTTTTTACTTTTTTCACTTCCCTTACCTCTTTTTCATTATATCAGTATCAGGCTGTGCAGCCTTGAAAAGGAAAGCCCACATCTAAATAAGATTGCCAGACGTCAACTTCTATTTAAGCCTAAATAAACTACTTTTTAACATAAATTTACGTTATATTAAAAAAAATCTTTGAAGTCGCAAAAAGTAGCGTAAGAAAATGATGGATGTCGCAAAAATTTCGCAAATCGCAAATACTAAAATTTTAGTAGCACAAGTCGCAAATTTGAGCAAAATCGCACGATCTGGTAACACTGCACTAAACTATTTGATAAATAAATTTTGCCTTTTAAGCGAAAGTTATTAGTTCTACAAAATAAATTACTATTAAATTTTTAAATAATTTAAAATCTATATATACCTAAAATTTAAGTACTTTCACTCAGTATTTTCTAAAACAAACATCGATATGCTCCCATTAAAAGCTTTGGATTCTTCCAGTTTATATTTACTTTTGGTTTAAAGGAATAGTCGAAGGTAGTCGCATAGTTTATAGAGTAGTTTGTTTCTTTCGATCAAATCTTGAAACAAAATTTGGATCCAACTCTGCTGAGCAAAAAGTTGAAATATGGCATGTACTTCTAATAATGGCATGTACTATAATATGTATATGTACTTCTAATGGTATATATGTTATAGCAATTGTTTTTAATATTTAAAATTTTTTTATTGATAGCTAGCTGCAAGTATTTTTTATAGATATTTTACTTATATCTTTGCGTACAATCAAACTAACCACTGCAAGATTCCAAACTTCGCCACATCACACAGATTAAAAAAAAAATTACAAATGAAATTTTTTCGTAACATCTGACATTATTTCTTGATTTTTGACGATTTTTTCCAGGGCTGTGGAGTCGGAGTCGAGTAGAGTTTTGGGTAAAAGGAGTCGAAGTTGGAGTTGCTAAAAAAACACGTCGACTCCGACTCCAATTTTTGTTGAACAGTTTGAATTAGAAATGAAATTAAAGTGAGTTGAAAAAAAATAATGACCAACTGAGTCAATGTTTTTATTTATGAACTATATACATTAATAAATAGTTATTTTCCATTTTATTGACATATTAGTAAACAAGGGAGCAGGAGGGATGTGATATTTGCCATTATTGATTAAACTGATTCATTTAGTTACTAATCTCATTGGTGAATTTAGGTAAGCTGCAAGAACTCCCTATATAAATACCATTCTTAGGAAGCGAGCAGGAAAAGTAGCAACGCATTGGAGAAGTGCATATTTGATGATATAAAGTGGTTTTTAGGATTAAGAACTTTTTCAGAAGATGTAAATGACTCTAATATTTCACTAACAGAAAGACTGTGGAATGATCTTGCAGAACTGGAAACCCTTCTTTCTATACCGTATATAGCCACCAAAAAGCTACAGTCTGAAGAATTAACAAGAGGCAAGACTGGAAGAATGTGATGTTTGTTCTTTCAGAAATGAAGGGTTTATTGCAGAAGGAATCTTTTCTTCAATAAAGAAAAGAGAAATTAGTTTGCTGGACGATAAGATAGTGCTGAGTTCAATATATGTAGATCCAAAATGCTGAATTTTGTTAGAAGACAAACAAATGAAAAAGGCAAAGAAAGTCATCTATGAACTTTCATTAAGAATGAAATTATTCTCAGAATAACTGGAGTATTCAAATCAGACAGTCAAACTGCAAATATTGCAACTGAGTCTCTATCATCCTCTTCCACTGATGAATTAGATTTTGAGAAATATTTGGATAATATTCAAAAGGCTAAGGCAAAGAAAGCGAATGAAAATAAATAACCAAGAGCCTTTAGATATAAAAATGAAAAAATACAAACAAGATTTCTACACGGCCTTTGAAGAAATAGATAAGTATAATTGCTCTTGGTAGACACCTCTTTCAGAACTTATAAAAATCTATCCTGAAAAGTTAAAGGAAGTAGCCCTAACAGTAACGCTCTTCCTCCTACTCAGGTCCGTGTGAGAAGACTCTTACTGTTTCTTAAAAATTACTAATGCCAGTTTTTCCATTTCATAATAAATACTAATTAATAAAAAAATTTGCTATGCATCAATTTTTTCTGTGGCATCTATTACTTCTTTTACATTAAAAAAATAAGCTGTACCCATGTGTATATGTTTAAATATATATGAAGGAGTCGAAGTCAGAGTCGGAGTCATTAAAATTCCAGGAGTCGGAGTCGGTCATTTTACCTACCCGACTCCACAGCCCTGACTTTTCCAATGGTCTCTGATCGTTGGGTTGCTAATAATCATGCAACTTCTAACAATGTTGAATTTTTAAATACGTGAAAAAGAAAAATTCAGCTGGGACTAACGTTCCTTTTGGTCTAAAAACTACGTAATTATAATTATTTCTTTCCTTTAGGAAAAAATCTTGGCAGATTCTGAACCAGCTTTTACACTTTATTTCTGTCTAGGACAGTTTCAAAAATTCTTTTTTGTTTTACTTCATTTGCTCAGTTTATTACGAAGTACGATGGATTGGGTACAGAAATCTTGAAAATTAATTTAAAACTATCATAAATTTTAAAATTACAAATTTTCAAAAAAAAATCTAAAACTAATATTTTTTTAAAAGATATTGCATTACGTATTGAATATACAAATTATTAGGGATCATCGACACCAATCAAAAACTCGT